GGGGGGGGGGGGGGGGGGGGGGGGGGGGGGGGGGGGGGGGGGGGGGGGGGGGGGGGGGGGGGGGGGGGGTCCCACATTGATTGGAGAAGGGAATGAGTGCCAGCAAGGACGCTGGCCCCGAAGGGTGGTGGATTGTGAGATCCCACATTGGTTGGGGAGGCGAACGAATCATCCTTTATAAATATGGAAACCTCTCCCGAGTAGACACATTGTAAAAACCTTGAGGGGAAGCCTGAAAGGGAAAGCCCAAAGAGAACAATATCTGCTAGCGGTGGGCTTGGGCCGTTCCAGTTACCCATGAAATAACTTATTGTTGCATAGTTAAGTTAGAATATTGTTTTGGCAACTGTATATAGAAGCCAACTCCTGTTCCTGGACTATTGGGACTTTATCCAGAAAATGCATATGCTTGTTAAGGATCGCACTGAACTTGATTGATTAATAGGGATGCAACATCTTTCTTGTTTTTAGTTTCTATGGGTGATTTTTCTCTTATTCTTAGTTTTTCCTCCTACATATCTCTTACATTTTTCTCTTCTGTGTGAGAAATTTATATATGTTTCTATTAGGTACCCGAGCATGAAGAAAACAAGACAATAACAATATCAAAGACAATTACGTTATAAATAGAGTCTTGAGAGAGCTCTCTCTCTCACCCAAGTTCCAATGTGGATAATCCCACTAAAATCATCCCTTTTTAAGAACCCTACCTTCCATATATATAACCAAGACACCCTTATCTAATTACTACTATACCTTTACTAATATCCTATTAATATTCCCAACCTACACCTCACCAGTACTCCCACAGTTTCTTGTGATTTTGATGGTTATTTCAATTTCATTGTAGTCTTTGATTTTTTTTTCTTTTTCTTTTTCTTTTCTTTTCTTTTCTGAGTTGGGGGTTTCATAATCTGCATACAATTGAATGTCACTGTTTGAACTGAAGAGGAGTGTAATTTGTGTAGGAAAACCCATATTCATGTACAGTATGGGAGGCCTTGCTGAATATTGTGTCACTCCAGCCAATGGAGTGGCAGTTTTACCAAAATCGGTACCATACGCGGAGTCGGCGATTCTAGGATGTGCAGTTTTTACTGCTTATGGTGCAATGGCCCATGCAGCCAAAGTGCGCCCAGGGGATTCTATTGCTATTATTGGGATTGGAGGTGTCGGTTCAAGGTAAACAACTATATCTTCCATCAGCTTCCACTTCGTATTTCCAAGTCGTGTTTTACAATTTGATGAATGTCTAATTGTTTGTGTGGATATTCATTCTAATGCCAAGTGAATTTGATGAATATCTAATTGTTTGTGTGGATATTCATTCTAATGCCAAGTTATCTATGGACTTGGCTTGATTTTGTTAGATCAAAGTTCCTTTCGATAGCTCTTGGGACGATTGTTTTGTCGGGCTTGTTTTTTTCCCCTTATTTATTCTTTCATTTTTCTCATTAAAAGTTTGGTTTCTTACCCCCCCCCCCTATCCACCCAAAAAAAAAAAACAAAACAAAACAAAAGATACAAAGATGTTGGGAATGTGTTTCAAATACACAAAATATTCAATAATTCAAAATAAATAAAACACATGAGTTGACTATAAAAGCCGGCATGGACATCCATCCACAACTGCATCGTATGAATTCCATTCACAATCAATTGATTTCTTGTAGCGATCTCTCGTTTGTTTTAACCATATTAAATCACTCATTGATTTGATCAATCTCCCTACTATCTTTAATGTTTCCAGATATTTGAGAAATTTGATTCTACAATAAATTTTTTAGTTTTTTCTCGAATATATCTTTCAAATATTATTTACGAAAATAAAAAAAATGTTAGTAGCTTGAGTAGTAGCTTGAGATTGCTCAAAACAGTACCTAAAAAATATAGGGAAAAAAGAAGAAGAAAGAATCTAAAACTGATGAAGGAAACAAATTGAATGATGGGAATTTTGGTGAAAATCAGAGCATTCATCGCCTAAATTATAAAGATATGGCATTCAAACAGCATATTAGGAGCATGTAGTCTGAAAGTGTTCATAATTTCCAATCTGGTGTATCTTTATTTGTTTATTATTATTATTATATATATTTTTGTAACATTATATTTCTCCAGTTGCTTGCAGATAGCAAGGGCATTTGGTGCTTCTCATATTATTGCCGTTGATGTTCAGGATGACAAACTGCTAAAAGCGAAGACAAGTGGTGCTACACATGCCGTTAATTCTCTTAAAGAAGATGCAATTGAAAAGATCAAAGTATGTACTTCATTCTTTAGGAGTTATCCTACGTATCATGGATCATTGGATGCCACTATAGTATGCACGGTAGATGGAGTCATGTTCATATATTCATTATTTTTGTTATAGTTATTGCGTCTATTTGTTTTTGCGTGTGTGTGTATGTGTGGGCACTGTGTTAGATTGAGATGATTTTTTTTTTTTTTTTTGCATTCAATGTGTGAATTTTCTTTTACTTAATCTCATGCTTTAAATTATTTGTGTCATGGTTTTCCTGCGTCTCAGTACTTCATGTTATTCAAATTTTGTGTTTTTATAAAAAAAAAAAAAAAAGTTTATTATTCAAACTTTGGGAGGGATACTTCATGGAAATATGCTTGAAGATCTTTTGGTTGAGTCATCTATCAGAGAGATCTTGTTCAAAGCTGCTGGGCGAATGCTTTAGGCCAAAGCTCGATTCAGTTTTTGTAGCTTTGTAGGAGTTTGGCTTGATGGTTTCTCGAGTTACTTTATTAGTTTGGTTGTTTGACTTACAACTGTCACAACAAATGCAATATTTGGTTGTATGCCATATAAGTACATAAGTTGTGTTCCCAGCAGTTAAAGTACTGTTTTTATGTATGCATCTGGAGGGGCATTTTTTGTGATTCCATATTGCTGCAATGTAAGTATGTGAGGTGCTGACAGGAAATAACAGGAGGAAAGGGGGTGGACATTGCTGTGGAGGCATTGGGAAGGCCACAGACATTCATGCAGTGTACTCAAAGTGTGAGGGATGGAGGTAAAGCTGTAATGATTGGTCTTGCCAAACACGGATCTGTAGGCGAGGTTGATATTAACCGCCTTGTTCGTAGAAAGGTTAGCCTTTTCTTCTTTTGGTTATTGTGATATCCCACGTTGGTTGGGGAGGAGAATGAAACACCCTTTACAAGGGTGTGGAAACTTTTTCCTAGCAGACGTGTTTTAAAGCCCTAAGGGGAAGCCTGAAAGGGAAAGCCCATAGAGGACAATATTTGCTAGCGGTGGGCCTAGGTCGTTATCGTTATGTTCTCTCCCTGAGATGGCATTCATGCACGTTTCTTCGATGCCAGTTTTCTACTTCTCCAATTGAATTCGTGTGTAGCTTCAGTTGTCACTAACATTGATACTGTCACTAAAAATGTTTAAGAAGGCTTCATGAGCTGGATGTTTTTGCCTCTTTTTTAAGCACAATATGAGCCGAATTTGTTAATAATGTGTGTGATTCAAGTGGGGATGTGAATTGATGATGCAGATACAAGTGGTTGGGTCTTATGGAGGAAGGGCAAGGCAGGATCTGCCCAAGGTGATTAAGTTGGCAGAATCGGGAATTTTCAATCTTAACGACATGGTTTCTCGAAAATACAAGTTCGAGGAGGCAAATGAGGCATTTCAAGATCTCAACGAGGGAAAAATCATCGGTCGAGCTGTTATAGAGGTCGCCTAATCCCTCGAGCTGTTGTAGAGGTTGCCCCCCAGTCCCTTCACTGCCCCAAATCAGCACCTTTTAGTTTATGTGACACACAAATAAATATTATGAGATAAGCTTTTTTTTTTTTTTTTTTGGTTTCTCTTGTGCCCTCTGAACTTTGGTTTGGTAAAATCATGATCGTCCCGGGTTAAAATTCATCGATGTATGTTTAGTTTATTTTAGTTCCTTGAATAACAAAACCAGTAGTGCTTCCACAGGGAAAACAGAGCAAGAAAAAGAGAGAATAAACGAATTCACTTCCAAGGGTAGAAACTGTGTTTGTACGACTTTGGCGAAATGGATGAAAAGGGGAAGGCGTTGACTTTTTTATTTTTTCTCATATATGGCAAACCTAACCAAATCCATATCCGAGTAGAAAATTAGGACATTTGTTTTTTCTTTTATTTTCTTCTTTTGAGAAAAAAAGAAAACAAATAAAGGCATTTCCGTCCTCATTATGGGAATGGGTATGGAAAAGTCCCCACTATCCCATGCCTCTTATTTTATTTTCTAGGTTGAAGCCGAGAATTCACCTGAATCTTTGCATAATTTTTTTCTGTATACACACACACAAGTGGGGAGGGGTGGGGAGGTTAAGGTTGGAGATAGGGACGAGAGAAATCTTTTCCGCTCCTTCCCCATTCCCTATTGATAAAGATTCTTTCTTCGCTTCGAGTGAACTTCTAATGTTAAATTGATATCTCTCGTGTAAAATCAAGATAATCAAAATAAATTATTTTAAAAATAAAAAATGAGTAACTAAACTAAATATTTAAAATATATATATATATATATATATAAATAAAGAGACTTAAATGAAATTAAAATTTTGAGTATATTCAAAATTAAATCGGATCTAAAGCCTAAAACTTGAGTGGGCTGCATATGTCAGCCGACCAAGTTTATCAAAATAATTATTGAGCAATGAATTATTTAATCCTACAAAATTGATTGAATCAACAAACATCCAAAAACTTGGGTTGGAAATTGGAATCGGTCTTCAAATAAATAAATAAAACTTAATTAAAACCGGTTTTCTCTTGTAAACACGTGAAAGTTGAAACAGCTTAATAAAGTCGGTTCGTAATAGTGTTATATTTTATTATGTTTTAACTAGTTTTTATTTCTGGAAAAGCAATACATGTAGTCAAGTATTGACCCCATTGGTTCAACCGTTCAATTAAATAGGTTCATGACGGTTGTTGCTTGCGCTCAATTTCTAATCAAAATTAGGACCCACTCACCACATTCAACATAAAAAAAGAAACTCATTCACATACCCATAAACATACCTAAGCCCTCACCCTTAACCCCATTTTGTTCTTTCTTTTTGTTGGAAACACTGCTCGGATTGGTATGTGATTGCTAACCTGTGTTGTACATAGTACTACACCAATCTAGCCACCTCTAGCTTCGATTCAACGAGAACAAAGTCCACCCAAAATCAAGCATCAACATCCTAGTATTTGTTTTGTAAAAAACTTGGATTTTAAAATAAATTAGGGAGAAAAGGGGAAAAAAAGAAGAACAAAAAGTCAAGAACATAAACCAAAGAGGGAGGGAGGAAAGTGTGTATTTTTGGATAGTGGAGTCTCCAAAGCATTTATTATATTACCCAAGAAAAGGAAACACAGCTCTCCTCTCTTACTCCTTTCTCCAATAATGCCTCAAAATTTGAAACCTAAAAGGAAAACCAACAAAAAAAAAAAAAAAATAGAAGCACAAACCATCTGTTCTCCCTCCTTCAAATCAAAGCAAAGCAAAGCACTGCATGGGATTTGCTCCATTCCTTGCCTTCTCCCTTCTCTTCCCTTTCTTCACCTTCCTCTCTTCCGCCCCTTTAGCCTTTCACGCCGTTTACCCCAATTTCACAGCCTCCAATTTCAAGTTCATAGACGACTCCGGCACCTTCTTAGCTTCTCTCAACAACACTTTCACTGCCTCAATCACCAATTCTAAATCCGACTCCTCTAACTACTTCTTCCTCATCACCCATGTCGTTTCCGACACCATCATTTGGTCCGCCAATCCCTACAATCCCGTTTCCATTTCCAGCCCTCTCACTCTCTCCCCCGCCGGCCTCTCCCTCTCCGACGACGACTCCGGCGCCCTCGTCTGGTCCACTCCGCCTCTTCCCTCCCCTGTCGCCGCCATGCACCTCCTCGACTCCGGCAACCTCCTCCTTCTAGACCACGCCAATGTTACCCTCTGGCAGAGCTTTGATGTTCCAACTGACACCATCCTTGTCGGACAGCGCCTTCCAGTTCGAAATCCCCTGTTTCCGGCTACCACTGAGGACGACGACATGTCGTTTCGGCTTCTCCTTACTGATGACGATTTGTTGCTGCAGTGGAATCAGTTGACTTTCTGGAAATTGTCCATGGATTTGAAGGCCTTTAGACATTCTTACTCTCCGGTTTCCTTCTTGGCCATTAATGGCTCTGGGTTTTATCTCTTTGCATCAGATGGATCAACGGTTGTGATGCATCTCAGCTTGAATTCCAATTTGGGGGAGCTTTTTAGATTTGGGAGACTTGGGTTTGATGGGAGATTCAAAATCACGAGCTTTGTGAATGGGGGTTTTGTCGATGAATTTGTGGGTCCGTCGGAGAATTGTCAACTTCCGACACCTTGCGGGAAGTTAGGGCTCTGTTCTTCTGGAACATGTTCTTGTCCTCCCAGTTTCACAGGAGATTCACAGAACAAAAACGGTTGTGTCCCTGCTGATTCATCCGTTTCTCTTGCTTCTCCTTGTGGTAATGTTAGTAAGGCCAATGTTGCAGGGGAGTTGAATTCGAGCTTTTCGTATTTGAGACTAACTGATGGTGTTGATTATTTTGCTAATAACTTCATGGAACCTGAAAATCATGGTGGTGACTTGCAATCCTGTAAGGATTTGTGCTCCAGGAATTGTTCATGTTTGGGGATTTTTTATGAAGATTCTTCCTCTTCTTGTTTTCTTATTTGGGACAAGATTGGTTCCGTTATGTCTGCTAAGAGAAGTCGTGTCGGATACATAAAAACTCTCCAAATGACTCCCATTTCTGAAGGAAAGAGTCGGAAAAGGATTCCACTGGTGGGTCTGATATTGATTCCTTCATCAGCAATCTTTCTTGTGATTGCAATTGGTGTCCTACTCTGTTTTCGAAGATTGAGGGTGTTGGCGACACTGCAGCGGTCGGAGTCTTCTTCGTCGATGGAACTGGATATGACGTTGATTCCGGGGTTACCAGTCCGGTACGGCTACGACGAGATTGTGACTGCAACTGACAATTTCAAAACCCAAATAGGGAGTGGCGGGTTTGGTACGGTTTTCAAAGGAACTCTTCCAGACAAAAGTGTTGTGGCAGTGAAGAAGATATCAAGCCAAGGAGCGCAGGGGAGGGTGAATTTTTGTGCAGAGATTGCTGTGATTGGGAATATTCATCATGTAAATTTGGTGAGATTGAAAGGGTTTTGCGTGGAAGGGAGGCAAAAGCTTTTAGTTTTGGAGTATATGAATAGAGGGTCGTTGGATAAGGCTCTGTTTGGGGATGGCCCTGTGTTGGAGTGGAGGGAAAGGTTAGAAATAGCATTGGGGACTGCTAGAGGGCTTGCTTACTTGCATAGTGGGTGTGATCACAAGATCATCCATTGTGATGTGAAGCCAGAGAACATACTTTTGAGCCAGAGTTTGGGGGTCAAGATCTCGGATTTCGGCCTCTCCAAGCTTCTCACTCCAGAACAGTCAGGGCGGTTCACAACCTTAAGAGGAACTCGAGGATATCTGGCACCGGAGTGGCTGACGAGTTCGGCCATCTCTGATAAGACGGATGTTTACAGCTATGGCATGGTGTTGTTGGAGATTGTTAGGGGGAAGAAGAACTGCTCCTTTGAGGAGAAGGATGGGGAATACTTCCCTTTGGTTGCTTTGGAAATGCATATGATGGGTGGAAGGTACTTGGAGTTGGCGGACCCGAGGTTGGAAGGGAGGGTGAGGGGTGAGGAGGTTGAGATGCTTGTACGAGTGGGGCTATGCTGTGTGCATGAGGACCCGGCTCTGAGGCCAACTATGGCCAATGTTGTGGGGATGTTGGAAGGAGGGGTGGCGGTGGCGGTGGCTAACGCTAACCCAATTCTAGAGTCTCTCAACTTCTTATACCTATATGGCAGCAAATTCAGTGAGCCCTCAAACCTGACTCCCCAAAATCAATCTGCGTTGTGGAGAGCATTGGTGTCAGCCACAACAACAACAACACAGCCTCATCCTATTCTTGGCAACCACAAGAGTAATAGCCATCGTACTGCTTCCTCTCACCTTTCGTCCCACCAACTTTCTGGTCCCCGATAAAGATGGCAACAGCGTAGCGTCTTAGATTCACCCTTTGTGTATGTCTTTCTTTCCTATCATATTTTGTCAACATATGCAACATATATGTCTTTCTTTCCTATCATATTTTGTCATATGGGTCACTTGAAAATTATATACAATAGTTGATAGACAAATAAGATTTCAAGGATCATATTACAAAACCTCTTTTTCAAGCTTCAAAACAGCCATAAAAGCTTCCTGGGGTACATCAACTCTTCCAATCGCTTTCATCCTCTTCTTTCCTTCAGCCTACAGCTTAGAAATTTTCAGTGTAAATGCAAAGGAAAATTGGCAAAAGAATAGCCAATTCTCATCTCATCGTCTATCCATGTCAAAATAACACACCTGTTTTCTAAGCAATTTCTTCTTTCTTGTAATGTCTCCACCTAGAAACAAAGCACAAACGAGAAATTTTACCAGCTGCCCTCTAATAATGTCGAACTTTTATGATATTGATAAGCAGTGACCCTCGAACATAAGAGAAAGTGATAAAAGTTGATCCAAAAATAGAAATAACAAATAAAAAAAGATATCCTGTCGCTGCAAGAAGAGTTTCTCACCGTAGCATTTGGCAAGGACATCCTTTCTAATAGCAGATATAGTTTCACTAGCAATAACTTTAGAGCCAATACACGCCTGCCATGTCAGGAAAAAAAAAAAAAAATGGAAACAGACGTTTCCCATGAAAAGAAAAGAAAAGATAAGAAAAAAAAGAATTATCAAGAAATCAAAGAGAGGGTGATTTCAGTCTGGTACACATGACAATCAGATTGGAGCTATGCGGAGCTGGCTTTTCCAGCTATATAGAAACTTCAAAGATACATGTGCACAAGTTTTTTTTTACAAACGACTTTTCGACCCGTTGAGTCATCCTATTCATATTTAGCTATACTAATGAAAGAGGAAAAGTTTGAAGGTGTTTTAGTTTACACTAATATCTTTCGACAGTAACATCAGGCTAAGAGAGGGCTATCAAAAGACCTAACATGTTTCCTTAGATAAGAATCCCATGGAGACAGCTAATCAGGCATAAATTTAAAGGAGGAATTTTTGGGCCCCACAACCGTAGCAGGGGTCCCTTACTCGAGTACCAGGAACTACTTCGTTGACAAACATAGCTTTTACAATTGCTTTATCAGCTTGTTGATGTTGTCTAAACTAGTAATGAATTAGCAAATATGGGGCACGAAAGAGTGGGAGAAGCATGTGCAAAAGAGCAAGGGGCATGAGTAAAAGAGGCAGTAAAGTGAAGACCCTAGTGATTTGATCTTATACAGCAGATAGAGTCCAGTTGAGGCACCTCCCGGCCCCACATGGCCCTAGGCCCTATGGGCGTAGCCGTTGTAAAACGGCAAGCAACGACCCCAATCATTTGTTGTTTCTATCCCCTACGCTCCTATGGAATAATATTCTTGCAGGTTTTAGCCTTCAATGGGTGGGGAATTTTTTTCATTATCCCAGTCTTGCGCCAAATCTTTTGCAGAATGCCTTTTCTGTTTCAGAATTTGGAGCTTTAGCTTCTAGCCTGTGCAGCCTACTTGTCGGTCCTTTGGATGGAGAGGAATGACCGCATTTTCTCTAGAGCAGAAAGTCCCATGAACCAGCTTTGGGACAAGATTATCTGCTCCTGTCTGTGGGCTAAAAATCTAAATACTTTTGTAATTACTTCACTCATTCTTCTTTAATACAGACTAAACGTAGAGCATTTGTGCAGCTTCCTAATTCTTTGTATTTTATCAATATCTTAAAGAAAAATGCTAGTTTCGTTAAAAGAAAAAAAAAAAAAAAAAGAAGGGAAAAAATGGAAAAAAGTTCGAGTTCATCCATCACAACTCAACCCAAAAGCTTAAACTGATGAGTTATGGTAAATTTAATCATATGAATACTTTAACCCCCTCCTCCCTTTTAGATTATTTGTATAAAGTCCAACAAATGGAAATCCGTATTGACGAAGGAGAAAATGACTTTATTTATAAGAGTTCGAATATAAGACCTCTTGCTCTTATACAACCCAAAAGCTTAATGTGATAAGTTACGGTAAATTTAATTACATCTGCAATCAATATAACTTACACTTTTCTTGGAGAGGGGATAAAAGAAAGTGGGGAATATTATCTTTGGAAAAACAAAAAAAAAAAAGTAAACAATGTGCATCTTCTTTGTTTTATTTGGTTGATATTTGTAATGTTTTCTAAAAAATAATGCAAGTCTTTTCTTAGAAAACAAAAAATAAATAATCTATTGGTACCTTCAAGTGGCAGAAATTCAAAACATTTGGACCAAGAAAATACATAATAAAGCTATGTAACTGTTAATGTCAATCACAAATATTATCATGTGTCAAGAAAGGAAATATTAATTTTACCTGAATAGGTACTTTAAACATTTGTCGCGGTATCAGCTCCTTCAGCTTCTGAGTCAAAGCTCTTCCAACGGAATATGCCTGAAAATGGTATTTCTTGTCAGCTTCAAAGCATAGCAAGTTGGTCTAAGCCAGAATAAGTAATGAAGCGTTTGCTCAATCAGCGGACTGACAAAAGACACTCGCATAGTGCCTATGTCAAAACTATATAAGACAAAATAAAGTCTATTGAAGCGTTGCTTTGAAATTTCATTGTCTTTGGACCAGAAAAGGAAGAAATGCTATACCTACCCGGGGGAAGTCAAGGAACGTCCTGACTCAAAAAGTTCCAAGCCCAAATTATAGGCGTTGTTCGCCAATAAATATATATATACCAGCACTTGGTAAGAGTACAGATTAGTCCTCACCAAGTAGCTTATTTATTTAGAACGAAATGAAGAGAAGTGTGAAATATGGAAGCGGCAGAGGGAACAAAAGGGACAAAATCAGAAATAAGAAAGAGTAAGGAGGATAGAAAGGAGATACTCTCAAATATCTCCATCGACCTTCTAGTACCCTAAGACTTTTTTAAGAGCCAGACGACTTTGATCCACCAACTAACAGAAGAAAACAGACAGCAGGACAATAACTAACTAATTATGCATCAAGTTTAGCATTACATAAGTTCCTACTCATCCAAAGAAAAACACTACTTTATGAAGAGAGAAACCAGGAAGGTAGAAGCTAACTATTCCTATCCAGAGTAATAACCAATACATGCTCGAAATTGATACCAGATTATATGATTTTATTTTTGGTTTTTAATGAGTAACAAAAAAATTATTTCTCGAATGATAGCAAGTATTCTTGTTATAAATATTACCTTATTGTTGTGCACGATTGTTGCCAAAGGTTCCACTCGGTCACCATTTATCTGAATGTCCAGTTTTATCAACTCACTTTCTCTATATCTGAAAGTCATTATGCAATTTTAATACGAAAAGTTAGAAGCACATCTTTAACAACCAAGAAACAAAAACTACTAAAATTTTTGACACATTTTCTTTATACTTGTGATTTTCCTCGAATTTATACTATTTATTTTGAAATCCTATCTCAAAAATTCAAAAAACATCCAGTTTGTGTTCGAAGATAGGTGTTGAGGGGAGTGTTAAACATATGACATCCTGCATGAGGGAAGGGTTGATGACAAATGAGTCCGTTACTTTACGCCCATCTCTGGCCCCTCATATATATATGAATGCGCCTCTTCTATTCCTTCTCGTCCATCTCAGTTACAATTATTTCATTCCTTGTTCATCTCACTTTAACCGTTTTCAATTCAGTACAAAATAATAACATGATTTTGTCCCCATAATTGACAATGTGGACATATCCACCAAGGATGCTTATATGTGAGATCCTTATTTAGTAATAGAAAAGCTTCTCTACAAAAAGAAAAAATGCAGCAAGAGTGACACTGATTGCATCATCCTCAAAAATCAAATCCACTCTATTAAAGAAAAGTGTACATGAACGATTTAGTGTTTTACCCAGTAAAAGAGTATTCCATGCTTGCATAACCTTTGCTTCTGGATTTTAGTTGGTCAAAGAAATCACCAACCATCTGAGGGGAAGGGAGGAAATATGTATCAATACTCACCACAAAAATAAAACAAAATATTGGAAGTTCATAGATGTTGAGATTTGAGAATATGAAGCTTATAAATGTCGACATTTAAAATCTCTTTTAATTAAAGTCAGATTATAAAACTTTCATTTTCTTTTCCTTTTCAAGTCTTTTTTCAAGGATGTTAGGTTTAATTCTCAGCTTTTGTCTTTCCACTTTAAGTTTACCTTTAATGTTGTTTCTATATCAGCTAACTAACTTGTATCAACTAACCAGCTCATATAAGAAGGCAATCAGATGAAATCATTACCAACCAACATTTCATAAGTTCAACAATGGCTAACATCGCATAAAATACAGCATCGGCGTTCAGCATTGAAGTGAGACAAACTTACTTCTGCTAGTGGTAGGGCATAGGTGATTGATGCTCTAATTTCGGTTATAAATTTCATTTCTTGAAATTCTCCTCTTCTTTCTTGGGCCAACTCCATCAGGGGTCCAATATACTCCTTTGGCGTAAGCATCTCAATCTATGATTAGGAACAAAAATAACACATTATATTACTTGATATATTAGATAGATATTCTAAGGCTTCGAAGCACAAAAGTTGACCTTGACAAACGGCTCCTCAATTGACCTTCTTTTTCCAGGTTCAGGAAGCAAAGATGGATTTGAGCATTCAACCTTCAGAAATGAGAATTTTGTTATAACGTTAGCATGAGATTAACACAAAGTTCAACTTCCAAAGAAGGTATTATTTATCCCATCCTATGATATTCACACACACATACGCGCATATGCATAATGGCATTCAATGAACAAAAAGATTGAAGGGGGCAGGAGCATCAATAATTCTACATTGAATCTTCATTTCTAATTACATAACATATTCAAGTGCTCAATGAATTAAAAGATGATGCAAAGATCAGTGGTCAACAAGCACCACTAAAATGCCACTGTAAACAAATAATAATAAACAAAAAATTTAATTTAACTCTTTAACCAAAACTCATTTCTCATCAAATTATTTTATAAAATGTATTTCCTTAGATCAATTAGTCACCTGTTGGATTAAAATTTTCATTATCTTTTCCATGTCCTCTCCCCACCCCTTTTTTAAAGGTTTCTTTTCGTCCT